CTACCTATTTTGAAACTAACAGCAATGAGCTTATATTAGAACATTGGATCTGATTGTTAAATGAAAAAGTAATATTTCAACCACAAGGAAGTTTTTTGCTTAAGTTTACAAGAGGAACAGTCCTGCTAGAAATAGTCTAGCCTGACATTTAAATACCTAACAAGAAAGTAACACATTTTTTTCTTATCTTGCTAAAAGAACAATGTAAAATAAAGGTCACATGTGCAATTTCCATTCAGTAATGAAGGGCTTAGCTATGGAAGTTGTTACATTTTGCCACTGTTCATTTGACAGTCTGAACAAGTTTTAGTAACATTAAAAACAAAGACCATTTAAAATTAGTCATTCAGGAAACGCCATTAAGTGAGATTCCCACTCATAGAATTCTTGACCCTTATTGAGATGAGGTGCCATATAACTGAAGCTCTGAAGAAGGTGAAGGAGCACCGCTTATGGACATCTAGAGGAAGAGTCTTCTAAATAGAGGAAATGGGAAATGCAAAGGCCCTGAGGTAGGACCTTGCCTAGAGGGTGGTTGAAGTAATTCCTAAATTGTTTTGTTATACAGGTAACATGGGATCATGGTAAAAGAGATTAGAAATATAGAAAGGGGAAAAATTACCCACAATTCTTATACCCAGAGATAACATCTGTTAACATCTTGGTATACATCCTTACCTACTGTAGTAAGCTTCTTAAGATGTCTCACTTAGCATCTGCATGAGTTTGCTAGGGCTGCCACCCACAGACTGGGTGGCCTAAACAATAGAAATTTATTTCTCACAGCTCAGGGACTAGAAGTCCAAGATCAAGGTGTCAGCAGGTTTAGTTTCTTGAGGCATCTCCCCGTGGCTTGCAGATGGCACCTTCTCATTGGGTCCTCAGAGTTTTTTTTCTGTATATACGCATCTCTGGTGTCTTTTTATGTGTCCAGATTTCCCTCCCATCTTTTTTTTTTTTTTTTAAGACAGGGGTTCACTCTGTTGTCCAGGCTAGAGTACAGTGGCATTGACCATAGCTCACTGCAACCTCAAACTCCTGGACTCAAGCAATTCTCCTGCCTTAGCCTCCAGAGCAGCTGGGACTATAGGTGTATGCCACCACACCCAGCTAATTTTTCTATTTGTGTGGTTGTTGGGGGTGTGTCTCACTATGTTGCCCAGGCTGGTCTCACTTGGTCTCAAGTGATCCTCCCATCTCAGTCTCCCAAAGTGCTGAGAGATTACATTCATGAACTACCCTGCCTGGCACAGACTTCCCTTCTTTAAGGAAACCCATCAGATTGGATTAGGACCCACCCTAACAGCTTCATTTTAACTTGACAACCCCTGTAAAGGCCCTGCCTATACACTGCTTTACATAGTTGGCAGGGAATAAAAAATAATAAAGGCCCTATCAGTCACATTCTGAGATACTGGGAGTTAGGGCTTCAATATATGAATTGGAGGGGGGAAACATAATGTAGCCCATAACACCATCCATTAAACCAGAAACAGTTTTAAAAAATGAAAAACTTTGGATTGGCCAATATCTACTAGGCAGTTTAGAATCATTCCAAGTAGGAGTTGGAATATATATAAACATCATAATAACTATACCATATACTAAATCATTACAATAAGTATTTATTCCATTTGCACAGCAGTTTTCAGACGTTTTGGGTCTCAAAACCCTTTTATATTCTTAAAAATGACTGAAGACCTCAAAGAACCTTTGTTTATGTGAGTTATAGCTATTAATTTGCCAAATTAGAAATTTAAACTGAGAAACTTTTAAAAATATTTATCATTTTAGGCCGGGCGCTGTGGCTCACGCCTGTAATCCTAGCACTCTGGGAGGCCGAGGCGGGCGGACTGCTCAAGGTCAGGAGTTCAAAACCAGCCTGAGTGAGACCCCGTCTCTACCATAAAAATAGAAAGAAATTAATTGGCCAAATAATATATATAATTAATATAAAATCAGCCGGGCATGGTGGCTTGTGCCTGTAGTCCCAGCTACTCGGGAGGCTGAGGCAGGAGGATTGCTTGAGCCCAGGAGTTTGAGGTTGCTGTGAGCTAGGCTGACGCCACAGCACTCACTCTAGCCTAGGCAAGAAAGCGAGACTCTGTCTCAAAAAAAAAAAAAAAAAAAAAAATTTATCATTTAAAAATAACCACAACAAACCATTATGTGTTAAGACAAATGATACATAATATAGCTTAAGAAACAACTATATTTTCTACAGTACAAAATAAAAATTAGTGAGAAGATGGCAAGAGTTTGCAAATTTCTTTAATGACTGGCTTAAAACAACAGGGAGCATGAATAACTGAGGTGAGCTGGAGAACATACGTCCAATCTAAAGGGACAGTCACTCCTTTCCTCTGGTCAAATCTGTGGGCCAGATTCTGCTCATGGACCACCGCTCTGCAACATCTAAGGTCACCTAATTGGTCCCCAAGTCCCTTTGAGCTCTAACATCCTAGGTTTAGCTCAGAGAGTATTTTAAACCCTTTGTCAGAAGGAAAAGTAAAGATTGGTAAATGGTATACTAATCTGGCATAGGACAGTTAAAGACTGCTAACCTTTATTTAGCTAAATCTTGAAGAAGTCTATAATCTAGAAAGTTCCTAAAGTAGACTGTTAACTTTTAATTCATTTTTTTCTGACCTGCAAATTTTAATTTTCACTCAAAAATTGATTAAAAAGAAAGTTTGGAGAATAGTAACAGCTAGTAGAAATTAAGAATTACAAAATTTTATAAATTATAGAGTGGTTCATTTAATCTTTCCTGATATTTATTTATTATTATTATTTTTGAGACAGAGTCTCACTTTGTTGCCCAGGCCAGAGTGAGTGCTGTGGTGTCAGCCTAGCTCACAGCAACTTCAAACTCCTGGGCTCAGGTCATCCTTCTGCCTCAGCCTCCCGAGTAGCTGGGACTACAGGCATGTGCCACCATGCCCGGCTAATTTTTTCTATATATATATTAGTTGGCCAATTAATTTCTTTCTATTTATAGTAGAGACGGGGTCTCGCTCTTGCTCAGGCTGGTTTCAAACTCCTGACCTCGAGCAATCCGCTCACCTCGGCCTCCCAGAGTGCTAGGATTACAGGTGTGAGCCCACCGTGCCCGGCCTCTTTCCTGATATTTAAATGTAAGTGGCTAACTGCCACCTGGTTAGCTGGTCTACTGAACTCTACTGTGCTAAGAACATAATGTTCTTGATAAGGGACCATTCTGGGGCTCACTATGTTCAGTGTGTGTAAAACTGGATTCACTGCACATTTATAAGCAAAAAAAAGTCTACACATTTCAGGGCTACAATGAAAAAAAGTTTGCTAGGCTTTTTGCCTGCTTGTCAGAATTTCCCTATACATGAATATCAGAAACATTTATACACACACACACCTTCTTTCAGTGTGAGATTTACCTAATACTTATCCAGCACTTTGCTAGACAATATAGGGGCTAGGAATAAAATAAAAAGGCTTTCCCCATCAGAGTCTAAAAGTCTCAGTGTGGAAACGAGATATCCATACAAAGATCAATGAAACAAAACATTATCAAAATGTATCAGGGGAATAGAACCTACCAGAGCAATGTTTAACCCCTGAGAGGTCATAAACCCCATTGAAATTTGATGAAAGCTCAAGAGGTTGTGACCATATTAAGATGCCTGCACTTTACCTTAAGAGTGATCAGAGGGGGCCGGGCGCTGTGGCTCACGCCTGTAATCCTAGCACTCTGGGAGGCTGAGGCGGGTGGATTGCTCGAGGTCAGGAGTTCGAAATCAGCCTGAGCAAGAGCGAGACCCCGTCTCTACTATAAATAGAAAGAAATTAATTGGCCAACTAATACATATAGAAAATATTAGCCAGGCATGGTGGCGCAGGTCTGTAGTCCCAGCTACTCGGGAGGCTGAGGCAGCAGGATCGCTTGAGCCCAGGAGTTTGAGGTTGCTGTGAGCTAGGCTGACGCCATGGCACTCACTCTAGCCTGGGCAACAAAGCGAGACTCTGTCTCAAGAAAAAAAAAAAAAGAGTGATCAGAGGAGAGCTGCAAAAGGCTCTTGAGTCAGACAAGAGACAAGTCTCCTGGGTAATGTTCAGGATGGACTGGAAGGGTTAGAGGTCAGCTTAGGGAGGTGTTACCACTAATCTCAGGATATAAAGCTAGAAGCATTTGCTTAGGGCAAATACTATGACAGAACATTTGTTACCAACCTTCTTACAGGCCTGGATAACAAAAGCAGAAGGAACGGTGAGATGTGGTAATTAATACCGTGGCAACTATTCATTTGCACGACTACAGTAGTAGTTCCTGGTTTTACAATGTGACAAAAAAACTGGCCTGTACATAGCAGGCTTCAGATAACCACTTGTTGAAAAACTTAAAATTTGAGCAAAAAAAGATAAAAAGGTCTGCAAGCTTCACTTCATATATTAAAAAACAGAAACTCGGCCGGCGCTGTGGCTCACGCGTAATCCTAGCACTCTGGAGGCTGAGGGGTGGATTTGCTCGAGGTTAGGAGTTCAAAACCACGCCTGAGTGAGACCCTGTCTCTACTAAAAATAGAAAGAAATTAATTGACCAACTAAAATATATACATACAAAAAATTAGCCGGGCATGGTGGCGCATGCCTGTAGTCCCAGCTGCTCGGGAGGCTGAGGCAGCAGGATTGCTTTAGCCCAGGAGTTTGAGGTTGCTGTGAGCTAGGCTGATGCCACAGCACTCACTCTTAGCCTGGGCAACAAAGTGAGACTCTGTCTCAAACAAAACAAAACAAAACAAACAAAACCCAGAACTCCACAAAGTCAACTCATTTCTCCCTGTATGTGTATACTCACATCAATGGTCTTTGGATGCCACAGACACAGAATCACAATGTAAGGAGACCTGGTCTACCACTATTTTTTAAAGGCAGGTCAGAGTAATGGCTATGTTATCTTCCCACAATCAGAATCAGAATATACTTTAAATTCTATAATCTTTCAGCAGAAGATTAAGAGCACAGACCTGGGATCAAATTCTGGCTCCACAACTTTCCAGCAATCTAGCTGTATGCCTGAGCAAGTTACCTCGCGCCCCAGTGAAGCAGGGACCACAATACACCTGCAAGGGGGGATAAATGAGGTAAGACAGGAAAGCACTTTGTATAATACCTGGCACATAGTAAGCTTGCTACTGAACCCCTGCATCAGCGCACTGCATTATCCATCATAAAATAAAATAAAAAAAAAAAAAACCCTCGCTTGACCCACTATCTCCTTTCAGCTACCATATCATTTCTTTGTTCCTTATTAGCAAAAAAACCTCAAAAGGGCTGTCTAGACTCCTTGTCTGTGAGTCTTCATCTCACCTGCACCTATTCCAACTGGGCTTTTTTACCTAGTCACTCACGTCAGGGGTACCCATCTAAATCCCAAGGCCAAATCCCATCAATTCCCAGCCCCGAGTTACTGGAGCTCTGGCAGCACTGATTCCTCCCTCCATCTCATGCTCAGGGCACAGGAGCGCTTCCATTTGCTCCTACCTTCTAAGTGATTTTACCCAGAGCAAGGCTCCAAGTAAGCTGATGACTCTCCAATTTATATTTCCAATTAACTGCCTCCTAGACATCTCCATGTGGATGCCTGTTAGGCCTCTCACACTTAAAATTCTTCCAAAACGGAACTCCCTTGCACTCCTAAAAACAAAGACTAGCCATTCCTCAAGCTCAGGATATGGAATAAACATTGCTCTGGCTAAAAATCTTGGAGACATGACAAGAAATCTTTCCCTTCTACCCCACATCCAACCCATTTCCAAATCTATCCCAAATCTAGTCCTTTTTAGCATCTCCACCATGACTGCTGGCATCCATGCCACCTCAGCTTCCTAACTGACTTCTTCATCCACCTGGCTCTACCTACAGTCTATTCGCCACAATGATCCTTCTGAAGGTACACTAGGCATCATCGCTCCCTACAATTGAAGCCCACCCCGGCCTCCTGCTGCAACTGGAACACACCCTACCGCCTAACCAGAGCCCTGCATGCTTTTCCAACATCATTTCCTGCCACTCTTCTCCTTGCCACCTCACCCTCTTTCAGTCACAACAGTCCTTCTTGAAGTTTCTGAAGAGGTATCCTTACTTCCTGCCTCTAGCATTTGCTAGTCCCTCAGCTTAGAGAGACCATATCCCAGTTCTGTGAATGGCTGACTGGTTCTCTTGTTTTTCCACCTAAGGTCTAACTTCCCATTCCCTTATCTTGCTTTATTTTTCTTCATAGCACTTGTTGCCACTTGACATTTTAAATATATTCATTTCAGCTTCATTGGGTGTTTACTGTCTGTCTCTCTCATCTGAATGTAAGTTCTATGAGAGTAAAACTTTGTTTTATTCACTGTTGAATCTCCAATGCCTCAGAGTGCTTTGCCCTCTAGAGTAAGCCCTCAAATGCTTGTTGAAAGAATGAATGGACGACTGGCTGTTAGCTAGAATAGTATTTCAGAATGCTTACTCCTCAATGTCACAGAATTCTAACTCTGGTTTATTTCTGAAAATACAAGAGGAAAACATTCATAGCACCATTAAAAAGACTCTAGTATTATAAGGATTATCAAAGAGGAGGCTTAGTATGAATTTTAAAGCCCAGGAAAAGTTATATTAAATCTTGAATATAATGATCTTAAAAACTATAAATCTTTTTCAGAAGCTGGTCTGCAGAGGCCCTCTCAGAGCCCTCTGCCAAGTACACCTTCACCTCCAAGGCCTGTGCTGTATTTTCTCTTTTTCTTTACTTTTTTTTTTTCCTTCTTTATTGTCTGACTCATTCTCTGAGCTTCTCAAGTTAGAGGTGTGACTCATTCAATCCTGCTTCCCCAGAATTTGGTATTCTGTCTGGCATACAATGGTACTCAAATGTTTCCTGGTTGAAGAAACGGCAATATCTCTTCCTTTCCTATTGTAAACTCTAATATGGCCCATTGGGACCAAAATATTGGACACTGATACCATATAATTGAGATACCCAAGGTTTTTTTATTTTGAGATAAGTATATTTGTATAACTAGTTTTATTTTATTTTTTAATTTTTTCTTTCCCTCATCTTAGCTATTCTCATTTATTTTTTAATGATTGAGAATTTTAGGTAAACGTACATTTTTTTTAAATGATGGAAACCTGGTTTTTCACTCAAACCACTCAAATGGAAGAATTCTTCACTATAAAATGAACTTTCTTATAATATGGATGAAAGCCTGTTATTAATATTCCAAACCATTTAGAAGCTGCACACAAAGTTAACACATCAACATTTTCTACAAAGCAAAATAGCATTTAATTCCAATGGTCTAACCACACTTAGAAGTTCTAGACCTTCCAGGGCTATTCCAGAGACATAAATCTAAATATTAGTGGAACTCAGAGATCCTGCAGACTCATGGATGTATTAGTCACAAGCAAGGGCCTTATCCTATCTCAAATGGAGAGCATACGTTCAAAATCATGATACATTAATGATTTAGTGACTATATTAAAAAATTAAATCCACATATGCCAAAGAACAGAAACATAATAAGTTAGAAAAGCCACGAATACTCTAACATATGTTTTATTCCTATGGCACTTTAATCAATTGAATCAACAAATTTTAAGATTTCCAATATTTCTTTGAGAAGCTGACTACCTGAAAGGAGCTGGAGAAACAGTATCTAGTTGACAATATAGAGGATATAAAAATAGACGCTTGTAATCTTCCTAAACCAAGAGAACTACAGGCTCTACAATAGCCAGACAGTGTACTAGGAAAAACTAAAGTTAATGATAAGTATAACTGAATAAACTGTAACTATTAAAAAGTTAACTATGAAAATCTTAAGACAACTTCACGAAGGTGCTAAAATATCACAGTAACCCAAGATTTTTTAAAAGAAAATATTTGTTCCTATTCAGAATTATTCTTTCCAGAAGGATTTTTCCTGGATCTGTGTCAGTATCAAAAGCCAGCCAGTTATTCTCTTGGCTAAATATAAACTGAAAGTCAGCAGCTGCAGGATATTACAAAGAAAATATGACAACCAGGTTGAAAAAGCATGAATATTTGATAGAGTTTTATACAACATCACAGTAGAACATTTAATGCAATAATTTGAAACACAGCAACATGTTAAGATATTTGTGGTACCAAAAGGATTTTTGAAGTCCTTTCAAACATCTTTTGGGAAAATCATGGCCACAAAATAGCAGCTTTCAAAGTAAGTCAATCTTGGAAAACCCAGCCCTAGGTCTTGATTTTAAATGGTAGAGCCTCACAGGTTTCACCTGAAAAGAAAGCTGCTAGTTAAAACTGGTTTGGTTGCCTATTCGGGAAAGACAGTGGACTAAGCTAGGAATCTTTTAATTTTTCATTTTCTTTTTAATTTTTTCCCCCACCCCCTGAGCTAGGAATCTGATGCTGCTTCAACTTCAGAAAATGAGGAGGCCTGGAAGGTGATGCACTGGATTCAATGTACCCAAAAGATGGACATAAAATTAAAGGCTGGTAACTTTTATTCCTGAGCAATCAGCAAGTGTAGTCTGGCTGCCTAGTTAGCTTGCCCAGATATGCAGACTTTTTCTCTCCTTCTCTAGAGCAATAGTTCAAATGTAGTCCCCAAATCTATAGTCTGGACCTCACCTGGGAACCAAATAGAAATGTAAATTCTCAGAACTCCTGAATCTAAAACTCCAAGGGTGAGCCCAGCAATCTCACAAGCCCTTCAGGTGATTCTGATGTTCACTAGTTTGTGACCCATTGCTCTAGAACAAACAGTAGCAACCTGTCATTCTTTACAGTCCAGACAATGTGACAACAGCTGGTGACAAAATGCAAGACCCTGTGTTCCTGCCGTGACGGTCAGTGACCAAAGCCAGAGATCAGATTTTTCTCTGACAGAGGTGGAGTTGAAGAGTAAGATGTGGGAAGTGAGTCAGGACACCTGGAGAAGGGGGGGACACAGTTGATTCTATGATAAAGTGCTTCTATAAATGCCAACTAATCAGGATGAGAGCTTTCCTTTTTGAAAGGCAGAACCACCACTTTTGCTCTATCAGATAAGTTTTTTCTCCATATATGTCAAATTTACATATTTGGTTACATCAAAAGTGAGACCTTAGATTAATTGATTGCAACATTCAATAATTTTTTTTAATTTATTTTTTTAGAGACGGGTCTCGCTATGTTGCTCAGGCTGGTCTTGAACTCCTTGCCTCAAGTGATCTTCTCACCTCAGCCTCCTGAGTAGCTGGGAGCCGCACCACTGCACCCAGCTTTCACCAAATATTTATTGAGCACCCACTATTATGTCAGGGACTGGGCTTGGTGCTATGAACACAGCAGAGAACAAGAGAGAATCCTACCCTAGTGAAAAGGCATAGGAAATATGCAGAAAGCACAAAAACTTCAGGTAAAGTAACTTAGGAGAGAAGAGAGAGCCATGAGAGTGACAAAAAACCATCATTGAATGGGGTGGTTGAGGATGGTTTTTCTGGGTATCTGTGATCTGAAGAATGAGAAGCAGTCAGGTTCATGAAAATCTAGGGACAGAGCAAGAACAGAGATGTGTGGGATACCACTTGAGGTCGGGGTGGCAGGACCTTGTAGGCCACGGAACAGAGCTGGATTTTATTCTAGTGCAGTGGGAAGGGCTTTCTGAAGGGGAGAGGCAGTTTCTGTCTTATGTCTATAAAAGATCATTTTGCCTCCTGAATAGAAAATGGATTGGGGCTAGGCGTGGTGGCTCACACCTGTAATCCTAACACTCTGGGAGGCTGAGGCGGGTGGATTGTTTGAGCTCAGGAGTTTGAGACCAGCCTGAGCAAGAGCGAGACCCCATCTCTACTAAATATAGAAAGAAATTAGCTGAATGACTAAAAATATGTAGAAAAAATTAGCCAGGCATGGTAGCACATGCTTGTAGTCCCAGCTACTCAGGAGGCTGAGGCAGGATGATTGCTTGAGCCCAGGACTTTGAGGTTGCTGTGAGCTAGACTGATGTCACGGCACTCTAGCCCGGGCAACAGACTGAGACTCTGTCTCGAAAGAAAAGAAAATGGATTGGAAAGGGCAAAATTGGAAGCAGGAGACTTTTTCAGTCTTCCAGGCAAAAGGAAGATGGTTCTGGTTAGACTAGGATGACAACTGTAGAGATGATGGCGAGGAGGAGGATTTGACAATTTATTTCAGGGCTACACCGACTGGACTTGTGATGGTGAGGATGTGAAGATAAGAAAAGACTCCTACCTGAGGGTCATTACCATCTACCTACTAATGAACTAATTGGCCAACACAGAAACATTGACAGAGAGGCCAGTGGTTGAAGGCACCTGAGATGCCTAGCTCAGACAGCAGGCAATGTGGGCTGGAAGAATGATGATTGCCCAAGAACACTTGTCCTGGAGCAAAGCTGTCCTGGTTCTGCACCCTGGCTCTGCAAGTCACCCACTCTCAGCCTCAGGCTAGTTACTTCCTCATCTTCCTGATAGATATATGCCTTAAAGGTTTGCTGTGAGAAGTGAGATAATGTAGCTAATACAGTGTCTAGCACATAGTAAACCCTAGAAGTGCAACTTAAAAGAAGCCTGAGGGCTTGCATATAATTGAGGATGAGGGCTTTGTACATGACACCTGGGGCTCCAGCCCAACAATATGAGTTATTCAGTATAAAGCATAAGCAAGAGCTTCCTTAAAAATAGACCTAACTCTTGCTGGACAGCACCATTACCCAGAAGGGGATGCTATAAAAAGGGCTCCTGAAATGGGTGGCAGCAAACACTTCTTATTAAAGCCCTTTCACCAAGATTAAACACTCCAAGACCTAGGAAGAGCATGTCAAAATCCATGCCTTTTCCATTTCCTTCCTAAGATGCTGGTGCATGTCAGGGAGTGAACTGGAGTCAAAATGCCTGGGCTAGGCTGGTCCGAAGGTAGTGAGTTATCTCACGTGATTGTTCACAGTCAGTTACAGATTGAACTCCTTGTTCTACTACTTTCCCCCCTCCTCACTACTGCACTTGACTAGTCTTCAAAAAAATAAAAAAAAATAAAAAAAATAAAAAAATGCCTGGGCTCTAGTCTGAGCATCATCAATCTCCCTCAGCTTTTGGCCCTTCCCACAGTAATACTGCGGGCTGGATGCTTCCCTTGGTTAGTCACTGGGCTGTGGAGAGTTAGATGAGACAATCTAACAGGTAAGCCACAATATGTGGAACATTCTAAAGGACTATACATGATATAAAAATAGTATTAAAATATTTACTTCACCAAATGCAGCTCTATACTTCACAGTGGCCTTTCAGAATTTAACAAAGGATTCCTAACTTCATATTTTGTATTCCATTTTTATCAAATTACTGTAGAGCCACAATCCAGGTTGGGGGTGGGGAGGGAAGAGGACGACAGATATGGAGAGAAAGAGAATGGGTAGAGGGAATAGGGTGGTTTTAAAGTTAATGTGTTCTAACAGCACCTCATGCTTAAAAAAAAAAAAAAGGAGAGAGAGAGAGAAAAAATAAAGTTAATGTGCAAGGAGAAAACCATGCTCGATCACCAAAATTAACCCTGGCAATCCCTCAAGAGAATTAGCTTGCACTAGCCCAGCAAAGCCAGTTCCCCTCCATCACTTGAGCAGATAGCTGTTTCTGTGGCTAAGAAGAATATGAAGAAGTTAGTTGTCTTGAATGTAGAGCCCATGTTATACAAAGGGCACTTAACTATAATTGGTACAAGATGCTCACACAGTGAGACACACAAGTCTGAGACCAACTTAGGGACTATGGGTTCTCACCTCCCTCCCCCAGCTCTCTCTGGGCAACATCTTTTAATGCAAAGGACAACTACTTAGTCTCTACTGCCCACATGATTAAATCTTCATAAGAAAGTGGGTACTCTCATGTATGCAAATTTAAAATCATGCCCATCCAGGGATTACCTCTCTGGCACTTGGTTTCTGGTTAATTGTCAGGGAAGCCTGTGGGATGCTGGGTGAGAGGAAGGACCAAGGGCCACTGTTTTATGTCCTGCAATCCTGGCCAAGGCAGGAGGAAGTCACCTACACAGTACTGGCATACTGAGGGATGGTGGTGGACTCTTCACAGTTCCACCCTCTAGGAGTTCTGCAGAAACCACACACTGCAGAACCAAGGGAAGTGGGAAGGTGGTGTAGCCAAATGCTGAAAGCAGTGATCATAAAAATCTAAGTTCGGCCCTTAAAGGACTCAAAGGCTTCACAGCTGTTTCCTGGCAACCAGAGGCACAGATTAATCAAGAGGCTCACTCTAAACCTGACTAACGAAGGCCTCAAAGCCCCTGACCACACCTGAAAGACTTCTCAGGGTTAGAAAGTAGAGAGACCTGTACACTCATTTTAGTGTAACCCAATTGAAGTCTTTCTGCTTCCACTCTTAGCACTCGCTCTGCACTACTTTCACTGCCTAACGACACCAGATCTCATCATCCTCCTTTTAAGACTCTCATTCATTCATTCAACAAACATTTACTGAATACCTCTTTCGTACTAGACATTTGTTCAATGGCTTCCTCTTATATTTATTAAAATCCAGAGCCATATCAATCCATCTCATCTCCTTAACAAGCGTCCCTTGCACACCAAAACCTTTTATGCTGTTCTTTCAACATGCCAAGCTCCATCCCACCACAGGGCTTTTGCACTCAGTCCATTCCTGTCTCCTGTCTGTGACACATGCTGTATGTAGGGTTGGCTCTTTCCATCATTTGTCTCAGTTCAAATGCTACTGTCTCAGAGAAGCTTTCCCTGACCACCTCTGCAGACACTCTCTGTCACATAAGTTCCTTTAAAGGCCTTCTCCCTGACTTGAATGGAAGCTCTGCAAGGACAGGGGCTATGTTCACTTTGCTTGCTATTACAATGGGACATAACAGACCCTCAGTAAATGTCTGTTGAATAAAGAGACAAAAGAATTTTGGGAAGCCCATTTAGGGTACCTCAAAGCCTGTTCTATGTTATCTAAACCACACCAAGTGCTACTGTATTAATATTTTAGTAGACAGCAGCTGATGATGTTTTATCTGACCCCCATAGCATTTATGAAGCACTCTTAAATTGGCAGGATCTCAAGAAGTCAGAATCGAGTAGCTATTAAACCAGATTGTAGGTAGCCAATCTCAGGTGACTGCAAACAGGGCTAAGCTGCAATACCACCAAAATGCTGGCCACCCCAGGGCACACTGTACTCCCCAATTCATAGCAACCCAGCGAGGGTGTTATTCTGGTGAGAAGTTTACCCCAGCAGTCTGGCCTGACTCAGCCTCTCTCTTCTGGGAGTGCCTGTAGCAATGTCTCTGTAAATGAATTGACTCAGCACTGTTCCAGCTGAAACCAAAATCTGGTAAATGGATATATGGTCTCCTCTATGCTCCAGAAGACCCCACTGCTTTAAGTGTAAAATGCAGCTTGCAGCGAGTCACTTCACCACATCCAATTTCCTTTATTCCCACCCTAACAATTAGACAGGCATGGCTCCTTGGCATACTAGAGGAGCAACATCTGGAAAGATGGATTCTCCTCACCCTGTTTCCTTCAGATCACCAACCCTTTCCTTACACTGCTGCTGCTGTGGCCTTAAACAGTCCAAGGATTGCAGTGCTCAGGCTGGTGTCCTGCAGGCCCATGTGGGAACACCGTGGCCCTGTTTGTGTCCTCCATCAGAGGTAACCCACCCTCACCCCATTTGGGAGAACCTCTTTGGATCTAGTCTGACCCCAGCGGAAACTTCACTGCAGGGCACCTAATGGGGCACCCTCACCCAAGAGTTCCCATCTCATCTGTTTGTCTCCTTGTGCCCATCCAGCCAATGGGGGACTTCTAAGCTGAACCCACATATCTGTCCCAGTTACTGAAAGGAGTGACAGTCGCCACAAAAAAGACACTTACACTTCTAGAGTATGCTTCCCTCACTTAATACAGGAAGAGGAAATAATTCTTCTTTAAAAGAAACATCTCTGAAACCTGACCTGTTTCCACTCTCACCTACTGGAAGGGACTCCCTCAGTTAACATCCACCCCACAAGAGGCACCCCCAGTGCTCCCAACTCATCTGCTCTTCCTCGTCCAATGTCAGAGGTTACACCAACTGCCCCACCGGGAGCTTGGAGGAATCCATCTGTCCCGTCGAAGAGGGGTCTGGTCACGATGGGGTCATTTCACTACCGCCCCCATCAGATCCCTCTGGCATCTGACTCCTTTTCCCCTCTCACTCATCCTGCGGACATCTCCTCAATTCTGCAGCCACCCCAAGGCTCCTCCTTTCCGATCAGCATAGGTATTTCCTCAGCTAGCCCCATCCCCAAAACCAACGCCGAGCCGCCCTTTACCCAGAGGGGATCCTCCTCCCATGCGGCCTGGGGGTTTCTCCGATGTCCCCTCTGACCAGACATCCCAAGCCCTCCGCCTCCCCAGGAACCCCAGCACCCCGTAAGGGACTTCCATCCGCTTCGGGGCGCCTCCTCATCCTCTGGGGAACCCCTCGGTCGTCCCCAGAGTCGCCAGCCCAGGTCTCCTCAGGAGTACCTCAGGGCTCGGCCCTCGCCCACTCCGGCCCCTAGCAGCGACGCCGGCCCGGCCCTTCCTCTCAGCGGGGCCCTCACGCCGCCCACGGGGAGCCTCTGGGCCTCTCCGCGCCGCCCACAGGCCCCTCCGGTCCCCGCCCGTGCTCCTGGCCACCGCCTGCTCCTCCTGCCCCGTCAGGCCGCGCCGCTGGCGGCCGCGGAGGCCAGCGGACAGACGCGGCGCGGAGACCCTGGCCCCGCTGCAGGGGCCTCTGCAAGTCCCCGGCGCCCGGCCCGAGCCCGCGCCCCCTCGGCCGACGGAGCCCGGCACCCTCGCTCACCCGAGCCCGTGGTGGCTGCCATCTTGCGTCGCTGTCGCTCGAAGGCCGGCCCCTTCTTCACCCCCCGCCCGTCCCCTGGCCCTGATGCGCAGGCGTGCGCGCAAGCGCAGACGCCGCCGCTGACGGCCGCTCCGGGGACCGGCGCGACGCGGGCCGGGAAGGCTTCTTTCCTTTCCTTTTAGAGGGACGAAGTATTGCGTGCGCGAGGGCCGGGCAACCTGCGAGTCCCTCCGCGCCTCGGAGCGAGGGAGGTGTGGAGGTGAGGAGAGAAGCGCGGGGTGACTAGGCTTGGGAGGGCGCGACGGTGAAAGAAAAAGGAGAAAAGAGCGCTTCCGAACAAAAAGCGCCTATTTCGCTGCAGGCACTTTCCTATGTAGCTGAACCCTCACAACATCTCTGCCGGGTCAGGGTTCATGTGAAAAATAAAGCTAAAACAGATCAAGCCATTTACCTAAACTGAGCTGTTAAGTGGCTGAGACTGAATCTGAACCCAGGTCTTGCTTCCAGGGTCGATGCTCCCTGCCCAGACACGGCCTGTATTGGGTGCAGCTAACTTGGGAGGATTAAAGTGGCAGGGAACACATTCACTCATCCAGCCATTCATTGATCCAAACAAATTATTAAGCACCTACTATGAGTCAGGCATTGTGCTAGGTGCTGGGGATGGATATATATCCCTAAGGAAGCAAGCAACTCCCTGCTTACTTATAGTCTGAGACAGAGGAGAGCAAGTACACAAATAAATAGGCAACTATAACTATGATAGGAAAGAAAATAAAACCAGGGAAAGGGCAACAGAGGATAATCAGAAAGGGTCTCCTAAGGTGGCCATATTTCAGCAGAGGCTGGAATGATGAAGAGAGAGGGAAAAGCCTGTGCAAAGGCCCTGGGGAAATATATTTGCCAATTAATAAGTCCAAGAAGCAGTGCCTCCTTTATCACAAATGGTCTGAGAAGGCCCTATATGCATGTGGAAACAGGCTGAGAGAAATGAAGGCACTGGCTTAAAGTCACAGAGCAAAACACTGGCAGAAGGACCACCAGGACTCTCAATACAGAGAGACAAGCTGGAATCCAACCCATCACTTTTTTCTGACAGCAGTGCCTACTATCCATCTCCCCACTGCATTCACTTCTCCCACTCAGGGCAAGCCCCCCTTGCCTCCCACTTGGAGGACCCCAGTGGCCTCCCTTCTGTCACCTATTAGGGTCCATTCTGCATATGGCAGTCAGAGTGTACTCAAAATACCCTCCAGCTAAAGCCTTCAGTGGCTGCCCATTCCTTCTGGATAAAATACAAACTCTGCAAGTAGAGTGACCATAGAATTATCACTCAATGAGGTCAAAGGGGACCTCTTGTAATCTCACCAGGACTCTGTAGGACAAAGCAGGATGAATGGACACCCTACCCACAAGGCCTTGCACCCAGGGCTGGCACTAGGATGGGGAGGTGAGGGCATCAAACTTGAGGCTTTCACTCAAGTCCTGTCTCTGCACTTGTGCAACCTACAAGTAAGTGCCTCCTTAAAATTCGCACCCTAGTTGCCTCACTTGCCTTACCCTAGCCTTAGCACTGCCTGCACCTCTAAGACTTTCCGGACCTCTGCAGCTACACTGACCCTTTCCAAGGCCAATGGAACATGACATGCCCTCTCCCTACTCAGGGACTTTGCTTGTGCTTTTCCCTCTCTTCAATTCTCAGATGCAGTATCACTTCCTCAGGAAAGCCTTCCCTGATTTCTCCAGTATAATTTGCTCTCAAAGTTGCCCCGTTCCAGAGCTGATCACACGTGAAACGACTTGACATTATTTCGTGTATCACATGATACAAGTTTCCCCTGGGGAGCACAAAAAATATTTGCTCTGGACTTTAGTCACTGCAAAGCATCAGCAGCAAGTGGAAACATTTGGCCTCCTAAGGTGGACTCACCTCTGGAGTGAAATTTTCTGGGTTCAAGTCCTTCATCACTCACTCTGCTGTGTGACTTGAGGTAAGAGATTTGAACCTTTCCTGGCATCAGTTTTCCTTTCTAAAAAGGAGGACATGACCTCAATCCTTGTGCATGAAAATAAAAAAAAAAAATAATAAAAAAAAAATAAATAAAAAGGAGGACACTAGTGTCGACCTCATAAAATTGCTGTGGAGATAAAATGCTTTGATAAAATTCCTTGGCACAGAGAAGAGGAAGGGACACTGAAAGAGCTGACATTTACCAAGGCGTTAATCCAGCTTTTAATTCTGAACTCGAAGCAGCAACTCCTAGGACTGTGCCCATTTTAGAGACGAGAAAACCGAGACTTAGAGCTAACGGGTGGAAGAGTGAGGATTAAAACACAAGCCCCTTATCCACGATGCTCATAAATGTTTACTTGCATAGATTCCTTGGTTCTTGTAGGGACTTTCTTGCAAGCAAAATTGACAATAATCCGAATTTCTGTGCAGAGCGCAGCGCGGGAGGAAAAGGTTAGGCGAAACTGCCCAGGGCATGCTGGTTATTGTAGTCCAGCGCTGCCGCGGAGCCTGCTGGGAGTTGTAGTACCTCCCCTCGCACATGCGCCACTGGAGAGGCTCCGCCCCCTTCCTGGAAGACGCGGCCAGTTCCCAGAGAGTCGGTCCTCCCCCTGCCCCCTTCCCGGCTCTGCGCTTGAGATGATAAACTCAGCTGTTAGGGATGAGAGAGTCTTGTTTTAACGGAATGTTGGAAAGATTAAAATAGTTAATAGAACCAGAGACTCTAGAAGAGGGCTTGGCACTAAGTGCTATGTAAGTATTAGCTGGTATTATAATTTAATCTTCAGTGACCCTTGCAAAGTAGCTGTTACCATCTCCATTTGTCAGATAAGGAAACTGAGGCTTGGAGGAGTTTGATGGCTTGTCCAGGGTCACACAAGGAAGGAGAAATAGTTTTGGAATCCAGTTCTCTTAACCCCGTGGCACCTGCTGGTTCTTCTGTAGTGAGGGAGGTGGAGCCTGGGAGGTTTCAAGCAAAATGTGGGTAGGTTTGTTTTCTCTAAGTGCATTCTGGCTACCTGGAGGGAACTGGACAAGGAGACTCCAGAGAGGAGGTGTGTTGGACACTTGTTTACTGCCAATCCAGTCACCATGCCCCTACATGAGGTGAAGTGGGTCTTTGGAAAATTCCCTCCCCTGTTAAAAGCTGGGGAGAAAGCCTTTTTGTCTCTTTTCTTCCTTCTTACAATATGAGCTTGTGGAGGCTGGAGCTGTGGCAAGCACATTGAGACCATGAGGCACAAGCCAGAGACCATAAAGCTGACACATCAAAGATGTCAGCTCAGAAAGATGGCAAGAGCCAGGTCCTAGATGATGTGGTTAAGCTGCTGGAGGACTCCTGTGGCTGTCTACCTACAGACTTCTTTTATTTTATTTTATTTTTGATACAGAGTCTCACTTTGTTGTCCAGGCTAGAGTGAGTGCCCTGGCGTTAGCCTAGCTCACAGCAACCTCAAACTCCTGGGCTCAAGCGATCCTCCTGCCTCAGCCTCCTGTGTAGCTGGGACGACAGGCGTGCGCCACCATGCCCGGCTAATTTTTTCTATATATATTAGTTGGCCAATTAATTTCTTTCTATTTATAGTAGAGACGGGGTCTCGCTCTTGCTCAGGCTGGTTTTGAACTCCTGACCTTGAGCAATCCGCCCGCCTCGGCCTCCCAAGAGCTAGGATTACAGGCGTGAGCCACCGCGCCCGGCCAAAGGTAGGTTTTTGTTACCTACAGCCAAAAAGCATACCTAATAGATACAGAAAGCTGGTGCGGTGGTTCAGCTGAGGGACATATAGACCTGACTCTTCCACAGCGTTCCCAATAAATAGGAAAACACTGGGGATGTTTTGGAATCTCTGGGATGTGAAAGGCATGAGTAGTTTGAAAAAGTATATCCAAAATATAAAAAACATTATTATATAATGTTTGCACAGGCTTTATGTTTTCATTTTCAATTTATGGTTAAGAAAAAACCCAACTTCGTGCTATACTTTTTTTTTTTTTTTGAGACAGAGTCTCACTTTGTTGCCCAGGCTAGAGTGAGTGCCATGGCGTCAGCCTAGCTCACAGCAACCTCAAACTCCTGGGCTCAAGCAATCCTACTGCCTCAGCCTCCAGAGTAGCTGGGACTACAGGCACGTGCCACCATGCCCGGCTAATTTTTTCTATATATATTAGTTGGCCAATTAATTTCTTTCTATTTATAGTAGAGACGGGGTCTCGCTCTTGCTCAGGCTGGTTTTGAACTCCTGACCTTGAGCAATCCGCCCGCCTCAGCCTCCCAGAGTGCTAGGATTACAAGTGTGAGCCACCGTGCCTGGCCGTCCTATACTTTTTATAATACAAATTACAGAAAGTAAAGCTGATGAACTGTTGAGAGGAAGGGTCATGGGGTCCCAAAAGGGGGAGAGTAGAATCCCTGGGAAGGGGTCTGTGGTAAGCAGATTTGACACATTTGCTAGCGGCATTTTATGATACATATGTGGAATTATGTCCCCTGAGGTGTATCTGAGCATAGCATTAAGACATTTAATGTGTGATGTAGTTTCTCAAATATACAGCTGAAAAGGGGTGGGAGTAGATGGTAGAGGGGCCATAGTACATTTCATTTACATCATCGGTGGACATCTTGGGATGTTTCCGTTGACATCTTCCTGTATAATTTATTTTTGTAACATCTGAATTTTGTATCATATGCTACTTTTGTGGTCAGGGAAAAAGAAATGAAAACCTGGGGTCTAGGGCAGAGGGCAGGGGTGCATGACAAAAAGGATGAGTTTCTTTAATTTATAAAGAAAAAAGATAAATAACCCAAAAGAAAGATATAATCATAGCAAGCATTTATTGAGCATTTACTGTGTTCCAGGAACATAATGTTTTGCATATACTAATCTTCACAACTATCCTATGAGGTAGGTACCATTATTTAAATTTTGCAGATGAGGAACCTGAGACCCAGAAAGGTCAAGTAATTGCCCCAAGTCACAAGCTTGTAAGCAGCAGAGCTGGGATTTGAAGGCCAAGCTCTTAACCACTACTGCCCTGCCTTCCAAGAAAAGGAAGGGATGGGAACAG